ACATTTGGAATAGTGCGCAGACTTCTTGGAAAAGAACATAACGCTTATTTTCCCTTACCTCACCCCTGGCCTCCAAAATGTCAGGCTAGCAAAATTCTCACTACTGTGCAGAATCATTTTAAGCATTTTAAGGATATTCTAGTAAAAATGTCTGTTTTGGAAGAAAAGTTTAATTCCTGGCAAAATCATAATGTATTCTTAATAATCTGCTGTGATATAAACTCTGTTGCTCTAGTATGTCTTGCCAAATTTTATCATTTCAAAGAAGGTTTACACAAGAGGCTCTCCTTAAAGCTGTCCAAAAACACCAAGAAATTCACACCATCTGACTTCAAGTCATTAGCATGTAAAACACACCTTCTCAAGTACTTGAGATTTGATTTGGGATAAAATGAGAATTAAGTCTGAAGCTTATCACTTTATTTCATTAGCAGGCCTCCATGACTGATTTGTAGTTGGCAGGTGTTAGCTAATTTACAATCTCAGAATAATTTTCATTTTGTACTATATCCCATCACTGTTGAAAAAAATATTGATAAGAACATATTCTATAATAATCATGATATACCCTGCAGTGAGGATGCAGAGGGCAAGTCTTTAAAGTAATTTCATTGATTTCAATTTATTCACATTTGTCTATTTTTTTTACTTTTACCTTTCCAAGGTACAGAGCTAATTATTTTATTTTGGTAATTTATCCTACCTTGTAATATTTCATCAAAGTAGTTTCTTTAGTAAGAATATAGATTCTTGTTCTATAATAAAATATTTTTCAATATTTTCATTCAAAGGGGCAGTTAGAGCTGATAAACTAGACAAAATTAACAAAAATTTTTTAAAACCAAAAATTACGAAAATGTACTATAGTATGTGATATAGTTAAGCTTTAACTATAATTTGGCTAAAATTAACAATTAACATGACTTTCCAAAAATGATTCATTTGTAAGGCTATGCCTACTTCACTTTCCTTCCTTCTGTTGTCTATATATACCTGACACCTGAACACAGCCATGAAGTGAGCAGGTCCTCAGTGAAATCTTGCCTGGTCTGATTAGTTCCTGAAAGAACCTCCTGCTGTTTCCTTACCTATAATGAGAATTACAGCATTGCCTACCTTGAGGGGCTGCTGACGAGCTCAGAGAGTTCTTACAGAAGCAGGGTTTGGCATGTGCCAGGTACACAGTCAGCACTACTAAGAGCTCCCCATTCTTGTTCCAACAATTCCACCTGTCGTGGGCATTGCAATGATTCTACAATTTGAAAACCTGCTGGTCCTGTTGTTTGCATCCTGTTTCCTGCCTTTCCCTCCTGTGCATCTGGGGTGCACTTCCCTAAATTGGATCATGTTATTCACTTGCTCCAAGATCATGTAATCATCGCTCCCTTCTCACCAGGGTTAAATCCAGCCCCTGTGAGAGGCTGCAGGACATGTCCTACCCTACCCTCCTTTGTGGCTTCGTCTCTTTCTACTGCTCTACTCGCTGCCCAGCCACCTCCTTACTTTCTGAGTATGGTCCTGCCTCAGGTCCACGGGCCTGAGATACCCAAAGAGATGCTCCTTGAGGATGTTCCCCTCAAATGTCACCCATCACACAGGCCTCCTGACCATTCCTCATAAAAGAGCACCCCTCCCCAGTCTCCTTCCCCTTTACCCTGCTAGATGTTTCTCTGAATCATTGTGCTATTTGTTTCTTTGTTGATTATCTTCTCCCCTAACTAGAGGCATTTTGTCTGTTTCCATATTCAGCTACATACCAGTGCCTTGAATTGTGCCTGGCACAGAGTTGTAATCCAATCCCCATGTGTATAAGTTGTTAAACTTTATGATAAATGCTAGAGAATATTTCTCTCTTTCCTAGGCTCAAAAGCTTCATTTTACCTGACTGTCAGGCAGTGATGAATGGTCCCTCATTCAGGAACCCCAAACAACATACAAACTTAATTCATAAACAGGTACCCAGAGCCCAGGAGCAGCATGCTCACTGGTTTATAAAATAATATATTTTATTCATTAACCTCATTATGAGCAATACTATGATTTTGCTGTCTAGGACAGTGCTACTCAAAGTGTGGCTCCTGGGCCTGCAGTATTAGCATCACCTGGGAACTTGTCAGAACTACAACTTCTTATCCTCCACCCAAAATCACCTTTGGCTAGGCCCAGGAACCTGTGCTTTAATCAGCCTGCAGGTGACTCTGATGAGCACTAAGCTTGAGGACCACTGCTCTAAGGAATATTTACATGACTCCTACCAGTTCTTTGACTTCCTCCTAAAAATTTTTATACATTTCCTAGTCTAAGTACTACCAACCTACAATAACAACACTGGCTCTCCAAAGAAGTGAGTTGATTCTGAGGTACAAGAGGGTCATAATCCAAGATACATAAGCTACAAAGGACCACAGGCAAATCCAGAGAGGTTAGGGTGAAGGAACTTTCGAAGGAAAGGTGTTTTGAAGCAAACATCACTGGTCACAGGGTCCTGCAGCAGGAGCCAGTGTTAACCCAGTGGTGGAAACAGCCACTACCAGCCACGTATTCTTGTGAGAGTGGCTTATCTGAGACAGAAGGCTTGAGGGACATCTTGCTGTAGGCTCTGTTATAATGAACATATGTGCAAAGAGTAGGGTATACAGTCATGCAATACTAATGGCAGACATGTGTACATGAGATCCCTTCCTTCATAGCTGCCTGGTACCATTTTGCTTTGGGTCTGAGATGACTGGATCTTGGCAATGGCAACCTTCACAGTACAAACAGGATACTGTAAGTGGTTCTTAATGTAAATCATGGTATCATTTCTCACGCTGGTCAGTTACCTTTTTCTACCTACAAATATCTAAAAAGAATGTTCTCAGATTTCAGAAGTATCTGCAACAAGGATTTAAGTACTATGTTTGGTAAAAAGCACTGACTCTTCGTTTGGGCCTGCAGATGCCCAGTGGGTACCTAAAAGCAGGATACAAGCTTAGCATCCCTGTCTTCATTTCATATCTGCATACTTTACTACATTAAAACTTTGGATCAGATTCCTGCTGGACTCTGCATGTAGAAAACACTAAGATAAGAGTAACTAAGGTGTTTTCAAGATTTGCAGTGACATCATAGTCAACAGATTGTCAACAGCCAGCCTTTACAACGTCCTGTTCCAGACCAATAGCAGGGCAACATTATCTGCTACTGTCACATTAGATTCCAAGAACACTGAAGCCTTGCAGGCAGATATCAGACTGCCTGCTAAGTGGGAGCATTACCCCATGATGGGATCTGATAAGGAAGACCAATCATCTCATGATGGGAGCTGAGTTGCTCAAGGGAAGTTAAGTGCAAAGACTTCTCCAGAAATTTACAAAGCCAAACCTGAGATAATGACCAACCATCCACAGTTTGACCAAGGCCGATTAATTACGCACACTTCTTGTCCCCTGCTACCATTTTCCCCTATTTAAATCTCATGCCCATGTCATACCCCTGGAAGACATGGGTGAGGATTCTTAGTTCCCCCTTGTCCTCCCAATGTAGCTACATTGATTAAATTGCTTTCCTGATTTTCACTAACACTTTTTCTGTTTGGTTTCTGGGGCAAGTGGCTGGAACTAGTTTATGGGAACTCCCCAGTATCAAATACCCTTTGGCCTAAGACTGACAACATTTCTATTTGTTTGGCTACCTGTGTTGCAGTAGCCCAGATAGCTATCCCTATGAGCACCCCCATATACAGCCAGCACTTAAATTCTTCCCAGTCTAATTCTAATACTCTAAACATGTAGAAAATTAGGCTTGCTTTTGTTAGTATTATTTCTCCATGGTATACATTTTCAAATATTTTTCCCAAAACAACAGGTGTTATAGGTAATTAATATGTAAAACAGGTAGAAATGAAACTGCTCAGAGACTGCTATGGATTAACTTGGTGTGTCCACCTCACTTTCCTTGACCTGCCTCTCTTCTCCCACCTAGTACCTGTTGGTCCACGAGGACACTAGTTAGCATTCACAGTTGAAAGGTTGGAAGACCCTTGTATAGAATAGAGTCATCAGAGTGTGATCAGCAATGGCAGTTTTAGGCCTCTACCCCCAACTCCCAGCCAAATGATCAAAAATTCTGACTGTGGAATAAGCATAGAGAAATAATTTTTTTTCACTATGGCGTAAGAATTTCTGGTCACTAATGAAGCTTGCAAAATGCACCCCCAGATAATTCTTCTGCACACTAGAGATTGTGAGCCACAGCTCCAAGAACTCCACACTGCTGTTTTTATTAAAAGGACATAATCATATAAACATACCAGTTGCCCCCAGCCATCCCAAATCATCATGACTTGTTCAAAGTATTTCACTCATGAAATGAGAACAATGAAATAGCCATGATATTTGAAGAGGTGATATCTTGATTTTTCTGTAAAATTGTAGCTAAACACTATTCCTAAAATCTAAACACTCAGCAATTCTGATCAAAGATTTACTATGTTCACAATTTTAAGTAATTTAATAAACATTTACCACCACTTTTCTAGGAGATTTTTGGTGAAATGACCATTAATTAGATAAAACCTCTGTCTTCAAAGAAATTAAATAGATGCAGCTGGAAATGAAGAACAAAATAGAAAGAAAATAGAAACTAATAAGAGGTAATACTACCTGAAAGCTTGTATTAGTCAAAATAATGGCTACCTATTATAATAAAAAGAAACCAAACTGAGAATCTCTCTTTCTCTCTCTCTCTCTCTCTCTCTCTCTCCCCCACCCCTGACTGAAAGATGCCCCACATTCTTGTAGAGAAGAAGAAATTAAAAAAAAAATTTTTAAGGTACAAGAGTTCTGAAAAGAAAATGAATCCTTTTACTGTGAAGAAAAATTAAGCAATGATTGCTTATAGTTTTGTTTTCAGTTTAATCCAGTGTTATATCTTAAAGATGACTGGGATAACCCATCTCTCATCTAACCTACACCTACCTACCTTTTGGCCACAGCACTCAAGGAGCCAGGAAAGCTGCCCTAGGCTGGCGTGGTGTTGGGAGAAGTGTACCAGGACAAAGGTCCTGCTGGCCATCCCCGGCTTGCCAGTTGTACCTTTACCAGCTTCCAGCAGAAGATACAAGAAGCTGGTTGGCCCCAGCCTGGGAAGGGAGAGCAGGGAGTGAGAAATAGGGTGACCAGAAGTGACATATTACTGAGATTTGTGGGAACTAAAGGTTGACAGGCTTGGCACAGAACATTTCGTGAAGGCTCCTGCTACAGTGCTGCTGTCATTCACCACGTTGTGAACATTTACAAGAATTTACTCTATTGGTTGGGTTAAAATCACCCCACATTTCAATGTAAGCAGATAATATAAGCAGATAATTAGAGATTTAGTAGACTTTTCTCAGAGACCAGAGAGAGGATATTTTCTTAACTAAACTGGTATGGTCTAAAGGCAAGGTCAATCATTCCAAATTTATTAATCATAAAATAAATTTCTAGACCAGACTAAGGGCAAACTGATGATAAAATAAAATAAAGCTGCATTTTAAACTTCTGAGATAAATATCCAAGCAAGATAGTAGAATGATACACAAGGAAACTGAGTAAAGTATGTTAATCTGTATACAGAGGATCATATTCTGTGCATATAACATATTCTGTGAATATTATTACTGTTGAGATAACGAATACAAAGATTTAATTTTGCTCTAAATAATGTGAATAATTTTTTAAGAAAGAATTTTTGAAAACCATACTAAAGATCTAGTTTATAGATATACTAACATAATAAAGTGAGTTGGTCAATAAATACATATCTCAAAGGTGTGTGAAAACATAATATTATCATACTTTATTGCCACATTTAACTTTCAACCATATCCTACCTGGACAAAAGATATTACATGGTCATCCTATCCATGAACAGTGTATACAATTGTTTTGGGCTTGATGTTTAAAATTTTGCATTAACCATATCTCACTATGCTTTCCTTTGCAAATCACAGCCTTTAAAAAAATCTTAACACTGTGATCTGTAGATTTATTAATATTGATACATATAGGTCCACATCATTTGTTTTAACTATGGAATGACAGATTTACTCTAACTTGTTATAAGAATAAAATGCAGACTATCCATTCCCCTGTTTATGGACAGCTGTGTTGCTCCTTTTTTCATAATATAAAACAGTACTGTCATGATTATGTATATAGATGTTGCAATGTGCTCCTAATTACTGCTCTCTATATTGGCTGAATCCACTGAAATGTACAGCACCATGTATAAGAATACTTATTGTCCTTTATCTTAACCAACACATCATACTATCAGAATGTTATATTTGGCTCATCAGGGTAGGATGTAATGCTATAATGTTATCTTATTCATTTTCTGATCACCAGTCAGAACTTGTGCTCAGTACCACATTAATTTCCTTTTATAGTTTTTCTCCTAAATGATATTTTATCTACTGCTTTTGTTCCACCTTGTTTTTGCACCCATCAAAGTAATCAACATTATTTTTACATCAATACTCATTTAGACTGATTCATAGTTGCATTTTTATTTTCTGAGCATTATCCTTCAATTCCTTTTCTTCATCTTGGGTTCAAGCTTATTCTTTCCTGTAGTAAATACTTAATCAGTGGTTTCAAATTGAGTGAAATAATCTCAATGCTTGTCTAAAAGCATATTTCCCCTTATTCTTGAGCAAAAATTTTGTTGAATATAGAATTCTAAGTTAAAAGGTTCTGTCCTCAGCAGTTTGACATTACTCCGCTACCATTTTTCTTTTATTTCTCTTGGGAGCCACCTAAATTATTGTTCCAATAGAACTAACCTCTTCTTCATTTGATTTTAAGAGCTCCTCATCTTAGTGTTTTGCTTCCTTTATGAGATGAGTTTATTTTTATTTACCTTGATCAAGCTCAATTGTATGATTTTTAATTTATCTTGTTTGGGACCATGTATTCTTGAATCAGAGAATTATGGAAAATGTTCAGTCATTCTTTTCGAAAATTATCTCTTCCCCATGAAATTCCTGTGAGAACAGGAATACATGGTGGTATCTCTCATTCTAAACTCCTACTTTGCTAAACTCTTTTTGTCTGTCACAATCTGGGCAGTACCTGCAAGTCTATCATCCAGTTCACTGATTCTCTTTGGCTTTACTCAATTTCCTATTTTAACCACCCATTGAGGTTTTTAATTTTCTTTCAATAGCTATTATGTTTTCCCTGTGATGTCTGTTTTCTATTTTAGGTTTCAGATGTTTTCCTTTTAAACTTTCATTAACATAAAACATCATTTATTTCACATTCTGTCTCAGGGTTTTTTCCCCCCTCAGATTTGGAGATATTTAACCCTTCAGCTTATTATACATTTTAATTTCCATTTGTAGGGAAAAAAAGTACTTTTTCCTCTACCCTTCATAGTTCTTAGCTAGGACCGCTATACCAAGAGATTAATAAGAGAAAAGAACAGCATTATTAGTATACATATCTTATGTATATATGGGAAATACCAGCAGACATAGCTGAGAATTCAGACTCAAATATTATCAACTAAAGGCAAAAGAGAGAAAGCTTACCAGAGAACTTATGGGGAGGTAACTAAGAAAAATACAGGAAACAAGAGTAAGGTTTGTTACATTATAACTTAAGTTGGGGCCTTCTTCCTTGATGAGAGTCTCTAGTGAGTGATTCAGTCTTCCTCTATCAGAGAGAGAAAGAAAGGAGGGGTGAGGGGGAGAGAGAGAGAGAACTCTTATCACTAAAGGAGAGCTCCTCTATAGGAGAGAAACTTCCCTAACAGAAGGGTAATGTTTACTCTCTTTCCCTGTGTCCACTATTTCTCAAACAGTTCAAAATAACCCTCATGCCAAAGAGGCATACTTTGGAATGGCATATCCTACACACTAAAGGTAGAATATTGTTGTCTTTTTTTATTTATACTGTTGCATCACAGTAAGACCTGCTTTCTCTCTGGATGCCTCAATGCCATATCATATCAATATGATCCCCAGAATGATCTTAAACATGCTGTACCTTAAACATCAGAGGTAGCAATCAGACTTGGTCCTTTATTCATATTGGCTTCTCATTCTGGACAACATTCATTTTGCAAGGTTTTAAGTTTTATTTCATTTGTCTCCATTTCTTACATTTTCCCCCTATTTCTTGGATATTTTTTCCAAACCTCTAGGTACCAGTACATGTGAAGCATAGGCTTTTTTCCCTCCACAACTACACCAAGTTCAAATAATCAGTTCAAATAATATCTTCAACTAAAGACAAAAAAACAAAGAGGTATCCAGAGGTCACTATGGGCTTATCTATTTTTCTGGGTTTGTCAATTTTTCTATTTAAAGATAGCTGTGACTTAGGTGAGTTTTCACTTTTTCATTTGTCCCTGGAAATTTTCCTTCTTTTTCTGCAAGCTCATCTATGATTTTAAAAATATGTTACATTTTATTTAGTAATTTTAGCAGGAGGTATTTCTTACTATTTTAGTCTTTGGCTTTGCTGGTCCCAGGGCTCTCTGACACTAGAAGGTCATACTAGCCAGGACTGTCTATGTCTTGACGATTGCGAGGGGATAAAATAATCTTATACCCTGTAAGTCAGTTATTTGGTGATTTTTGTACACAGTCAAAATTAATCATTATCTTAGACTTCAACTTAGACTTAGACTTAATCCTTATCTTAGACTGTTTAGATGAGAGGATGCAAGACTCAGGAAAATACAATAATACTGTTAAAATAACAAAGGGTGACCATGTGCAATGGCACCAATGTTTATGTCCTCTCCAACATTCACGTTAAAATTTAATTGCTAATATGATAGCATTAAAATAATACTAATCACCTTTAGGAGGGATTAAGTCATAGGGCTTGGCACTCATGAATGGGATTAATATCTTATAAAAATGAACTCAATTCACCATTATAAGGCAAATAAGGAAATACTCCACTTCGAGTATGTAGAAGAACAGAATATGTCACCCCAAAACGTATCTCTTCAGTATAAGCATTGTTTCGAGCTCATTATTTTGAGAAATATTGGACACAGCATTTGATCCTTTTGTCTTTGTGCCCCTTCTGCCATGTGAGAAGGTAGTCTTTGTTGGTACATCTGTGGTACCAACGACGTACCATCTTATAAGCAGAAACCAAGCCCTCACCGGACTCCCAACCTGCCAACACCATGATCTTGCTTCTCAGCTTCTAAAACTGTGAGGAATACGTTTCTGTTCTTTATTAACTACTAGTCTGAGTATTTTATTATTACAGTATAAATGCACTGAGTCGGTACTTTTCCTGAGGAACAGCATCTGAAATAGACTGCAGCACAGAGAGAAGTAAGACTCCTTCCCATCAGGACTTACACTGGTGTGATGTGTGGATGAACCTGCATGTGGCTAAACTTACCTCCAAAGCCCTACTTCTACTTGTTAGTTTCTCTGTATCATAAGAAACATAGTCAAGCAACATACATTTTAAGAAAATAAGAAATAGGACAAATGCAAACCTTAATCATATATTCAAACCCCAGCACAACTTAACACATGTCCCCTCCACCTCCAGCTCCTCAAAGAAGAAAAAAAATTACCGACCCTGACCCATCCCTGCTGTCCACTGCTACCATGAAATTTGCTTCATTATACCTGTCATGACAATGACATGTGTTCTCAAAATTTACATGCAAGCATTCTCCTTCTGGTTAAGTCTCTGCAGGGACTTAGAGACTTGAATCCAAAACTTAGCATGAACCGGGTGTACACAGTGAGGGCACTCTCCATGGAGACTTCACAGAACAAAGAAAATGCTTCAGCATCTGTAGACAGAGTCACTGTAATTTACCTGGCTTTCCAGCTACTGGTGAATCATTCCTGCCGTCTGTGTCCAGAATCACAGCGAGCCCCATGGAGTCCGCTGGCAGGACACAGCTGCTGAGGTCCACCCGCGTCAGGCTCTTGGGCTCCCTCTCAGAGCCTCCCAAGGTGCTTCGGGCATTGTCCTCTACAGTCGCATTTGTTTCCTGACCTTTTCTCCATGGTCTCTGTACAATGTGAACAATGCTTTGCTGTTCCAGATCACAGTTCTGTGTGAGAGCAAAGGAGAAACACACAAGGGGATGGCAAGCATTAAATGCCAACTCATTCTATAAGGTGTGAAATATTTTAAACTCTGCTTATGTACAATTTCTACATGTGGTAGTAGAATTGAAAGGAAAGTGATATGTGTAATTGATAGACTTGGACATACCTACCTTGCCTGGAGGGCCATAGAACTTACAACACAGCACATGTTAGACAAGCGACACTGAACTGGGGCCAGAAATGGAGATTTGGTGGTAAGTGGAACAGGGCAACAGAAAACTACAGCAATATTCAAAGGGATATGAAATCCAGTAGGAAAAAAATATTATACCGCATCCATAAGCATAACACAAATTATTTCCTTTGAAAACTGATTTACCACTGAAGTGCTATGTCCTTATAATTATCTAATTTAAACACTGGCAGTCATTTCTGTGTTATCAAAGCACAGCAAGTTAGTTATTATCAATTACAGTACATTTCTGTATCGAATTTAAAGTAACTGTCTCTGCAGTAGCCTGCACACACCCCCTCTGCTGTCACTAGCAAGCATAGTGCTTCACCAACAGGGAAGTGAGCAAAGAGTGCATTTATCCCATCCCTGAGTGCATTCACCTATCCCGCCAATCTCATGATTAAACAGCAAGCATTTAAAAAATGTGCTGCATCTCTATCTTGATGTGTATGAACAGGAGTCGCTAAATTTAGAATAAAAATTAAAAGTCAGATATTTGCTAGCATGCAAAGCAGGCCGTCCTAAATCAAGTTCTGGTTCAGAGAAAAGAAAAAAACTAAATTCTTCCAAAACTAATGAACCAATAAAGAAATGGGCAAGTGAACTAAACAGAACTTTCTCAAAAGAAGAGAAATTCAAATGGCCAAAAAGCACATGAAAAAATGCTCACCATCTCTAGCAATAAAGGAAATGCAAATTAAAACCACACTAAGATTCCACCTCACCCCTGTTAGAATAGCCATCATTAGCAACACCACCACCAACAGGTGTTGGCGAGGATGTGGGGAAAAAGGAACCCTCTTACACTGTTGGTGGGAATGTAAACTAGTACAACCATTCTGGAAAAAAATTTGGAGGCTACTTAAAAAGCTAAACATTGATCTACCATATGATCCAGCAATACCACTCTTGGGGATACACCCAAAAGACTGTGACACAGGTTACTCCAGAGGCACCTGCACACCCATGCTTATTGCAGCACTATTCACAATAGCCAAGTTATGGAAACAGCCAAGATGCCCACTACTGACGAATGGATCAAGAAAATGTGGTATTTATACACAATGGAATTTCATGCAGCCATGAAGAAGAACGAAATGTTATCATTCACTGGTAAATGGATGGAACTGGAGATCATCATTCTGAGTGAGGTTAGCCTGACCCAAAAGACCAAAAATCATATGTTCTACCTCATATGTGGACATTAGATCAAGGGCAAACACAACAAGGGGATTAGACTTTGATCACATGATGAAGTGAGAGCACACAAGGGAGGTATGAGGATAGGTAAGACACCTAAGAAACTAGATTTCATTTGTTGCCCTCAATGCAGAGAAACTAAAACAGATACTTTGGGGCAACTGAGGCCAATAGGAGAGGGGGACCAGGAACTAGAGAAAAGGTTAGTTCAAGAAGAATTAACTTAGAAGGTAACACACACGCACAGGAAATCAATGTGAGTCAACTCCCTGTATAGCTATCCTTATCTCAACTGGCAAAAATCCTTGGTCCTTCCTATTATTGCTTATACTTTCTCTTCAACAAAATTAGAGATAAGGGCAGAATAGTTTCTGCCAGGTAGTGATGGGGTAGGGGGGAAGAGGGAGGTGGTGGAGGAAGGAGGGAGAAATGACCCAAACATTGTATGCACATATGAATAAAATAAAAATTAAATAAATAAGAAAACAACTAGATAGAAAAGGTTAGCATCTCCTGCTACCCTTTGGAAGCTGGGATCTAGATCTCTCTATTAATCCCCACCCCAGATTTCTACATTCAAATTACCTCTTTCCATTAACTGTCATCTTGGAAATATTCAAAGAAAACCTCTACAGAACACAATGATACTGATGACAGCAATAAGTCCCCTCACCCCACCCTCACCCCCTGCCATGCCTTCCTAAGCAATCTTGCTGTTGTCACTATCAAAGTCCTCCAAGAGTGGTGACCACCATCACTCAGCTGCATCTTCTCCCCTTTGCAGCTTTGCTTAGTATCTGCCTCCTCTAATCAGAAAGTCACCAAAAGTCCTTGGTTCTTAAATCCCATTCCAAACTCTTCTCCACCCTCATATCCTGGGCCTATCACACTGACAGGCTTGCTGTACATCCAATTCCTCACAGCTCCCAGTGTCTCCCCAGAATGGCTCATACTCAGAAGTCCTCCCCTACTTAACTCCCCTGTTTCTGTCAAAGCACCGCCAACCCACCCAGCACCCAGGAGTTAGGGCTTCCCCTACTACCTAAAACCTTCAAGAGCCTCTTTTGTTTTCTTATGGGCTTCAGTCACTGCCTTGGTTCTTCCTTACTGCCCTGTAGCATTCAGCAAAGTTCCAAGGGTGACTAATTAGGTTTCACAAATACCTTTCACGTCTGTACCTCCCTTACATCCCCAGTGTCTCTCCATTTTAGGCCCTCATTATAACAATGACTTAGTAATTGCTTCCTTTATGTCTGGTTTCTGCCTACTCCAGTGTGTTTATATACAAGACTGTTAGGGGTGTGCTGCATAACCTTTCTGAAGTGCCTTGCTATTGCCTGCTACATGGAATCTAGTATCTTACTATTTTTCACCTTTCTCCTTTCTGGATCTCTATCAGATGACTTTTATGTTCTTTACGCATCCTTCATTGTATAAGTGGTAGATTATTCTCATAAACACTCACTCTGGTACATTAATAAGCATGCATCACGCTCCCTTCATCCTCCCCTTGGTTTTATGTGCAGCCATATGACTGGCCTTGGCCAATGAGACATTAGTGGATGTGATTGAACCAGGGCCTAAAGTCACTTTTGTCCTTCTGCTAAGGTCCTACAGAGGAGCATCCATGAAACTTCTACCTCTTCATCCTAGGCAGCAAAACTGCACACATGGTGCAGCCCTGAACCCAATCACATAGTGGGCAAGGGCAGCTCTAGCTGCGGCATAAAGAAGACTCTTTCAGCTGAAGACAGCCTGGTCCACAAACCTAACTGGCCTAAAAACATGTGACATATGGTCCTGAGATTCTGTGGTTGCTCTTCATCAATGAATATGGATAGCACCCTCTTGTCAATTCCAAGTGGACCAGGAGACACACTATCGCTGGTCTTGATAATCGGGCAGGAACCACAAAACTGCTAGCCAGAATCCTTCTAAACACAAGGGCACCAGGATTTGAGCAGCTCAAGGGTAGGTGATAAGGATGGGGTCAGATGCTGAGGAGCAAAAGAGTAGGAATGAGCACTTGGGCACAACCCACCATCTTATCCTTACCGAGTTCTTCTTAAAACACTCAAGAACTCACTCAGGTAAGAGTCCACTCTCCATGTTCAGGACTGATATATTTCACGTGATCCTCTAGCCAAAATTGACACTTTTCCCACTCACCTGAATCACAAAAATTTCTATCTAACTGCAATGCTCTTCTTATCATAACGGTTAGAGCTTGGGCAGTATGTGATGTGTGAGTATGTCTGTGTGTGTATGGGCATTTGTATGTCTTTGTCTTATTTTCCAACTTAATTTAGAAATTTTTGAAAGCATCAACTGGGTCATACTTACATGTATATTCACCAGAATACCTCACACAGTACTTTGAACCTGGTAGATATGAATTGAGACAGTAAATGACTTAAGGAAAACAAGAATGAATAAATGAATGAGTGAATGAATATAAATAGTCAGGAGCTCAGTGCTTAAGGTGCTCCATGGGCTGCCAGCAGAACATGGAAGAAAGCAATATTTGATTTATTTATTTATTTAGGTGGTACTAGAGTTTGAACTCACAGCCTTGCACTTTCTAGGCCACACTCCCAATCTGAAAGCAGTATTTGAAAGAGCATGCGGAAGAAGTTAAGTTGACTCAAAACCTATATAGTTTATTAGCTGCTGTGTGATTTGGGGGCAAATTATTTTTCCTCCCTAAGCTTTCATTTCCATCATTGACATAAACATTATCAGCTTCAAAGAATGCTCTGAAGATTTAGGGAAATATAATGCATGCAGACCCTGATTCACAGTAATAACTCTGTATGTAATTGGTGTGTGTGCCATCATCACACATGGGTTTTGAAACTAAATTGACTGGGTCCCTCATCTTGTACACTATTAAAGCCTCAGAATTGTGTGTAGTTGCTCCACTCATACAATCCTTTTGGAAACACACAACAAAGATAGAATAGGCAGCAGCTGTATATGAGGCATTTCTCCTAATAATACTCTAGCTTTCTATGATATAAAAATTGATACCAAAAGTAAATCCCCTACATGCTTACATTTGTGGAACACACAAGGGACCTGAGCATGTTTCACAGGCAGCTAGAATTTGACATATATGGAAGAAATCCAAAAGATGAGTTAACCTCTCCTCTCAAATCCAGATTTTCCTATTGCTCAGGGTAGCACTGTGAAGGGGAATGGGGAGACCCCAAATGGATTTCAATAGTTGTAATAATATTTATAGAACATTTCTCTACCTCCATAATGGCTCTAAGATCTTTAATTGCTTAATTCCTTGACTTTCTCGTAGAAAATGTTGTTGATCTCGGCAGAGGTCCCTCTGCCAGATGGTATGCTCCCGTATCCTGCCAGCATAGCTCAAAGCCACATTAACAACATGCCCCGTGGACAATAAATTGGACAGAGTTCAGTTGTGTAGCCCCTCCAAGGCCCAAATGATGTTTAGTCTTCATGCTATGCAAAAAAATTCTTCAGATACCAGAGGTAGATATTTCCAATGGGAAGATAGGAGAGTGCAGCATTGAGGTGCTCAGTCCACTTGGGAAAAAGTAATGCCATGTTTATCTGTGCTCCCCAATGACCATAATATTGCCTGACAAAGAGAAAACATGTAATACAAGTTTTTTCTTTGTATCATAACTGATTAATCCCACAAGTGAGGCAGGACACAACTAGTTTGTATAGACAAAAGTAGGTGTTTGTCCAGCTGCATGTGGTCTTACACTGTCTGGCAGAGCTGGTCATCCAATGGGGACTGAAGGGTTAGTGTATTGGAGCTCTCTCTGATGGTACCTTTGGTGGGCAGATATCCAGCATTAATAAAATATTCATAGAATTTTTTTGCCAAATAATGACAGACTCTCATCCAGATGGCCAATAATATGCAAAAAAAGTTGCATTTTTCTTTCTGTATAAGAAAGTCCCTTTGAAGGCACATAGTCAGGGTCAAGATATCTCAGAAAGAGTCTGACCATCCAATTAGAACCCTGGAAGTAAGCAACATTTGAAAAACCTGACAGTGTTCTTCAAAAATGTTCTTGAAGTTTTAAGCCTTGGAAAAATATGTACTCTGATAAGAAAAATTTCTGGGGATTAAGAAGTTATCAAGATGTTTTCCAATTACTTATTGGAGATTTGCATGGACCATCACTAAACTGATCATTATGAGATTCTACAAGAGTTCAAAAAAAGTCACATCATTAACAAGCTTCATGTATTTATACAAAGATTTTGTTAAGAATAACAGTAAAATACATGCATGCCCAAGGTCTAACCATTGTCTAGACTAATTTTAGATGTACTAAGTTGTTTAATACTCCCATAGCTCCTAACTGCTACTGCCATCACTGTAGTCTGAATGTGTCCCCTAAGATTCAAATGTAGAAAATGAGTGGAAATATAATGGAGGTATGAACTTGTTCAAGTATACTGTAAACATGTATGGAATTATCATAATGAAATCCCTTCATGTTATTAGTATATGCTAGTTCAAAAATAAATTTTTTAAATGCACAATGTTTTAAATCATCAATAAAAAGAAAAAGAAAGTGAATTGCCGACATGATGGCATTGTGAAGAGGGACCTTTGGGACGTGGTTAGACAATCAGAGCTGGTCTTCAAGAGCAGGATATCCTTCATGATGGAGATACAAGGCACCTATGTGCCCACTTCTTTTTTTTTGCCCTTTTGTCCTTTGTTTTCCTGCCATGTGAGAATGCAACAAGAAGACCCATACTACAGACCACAGTCTTGATCTTAGATTTTTCAGTGTTCAAAACTGTCAGAAATAAATTCCTGTTCATTATAAATTACTCAGTCTAAGGTACTTATACGTCCATCCGTGAGTCAGTGTGAGAAGCCATTGATAACCATGTCTGGCGCATGTAAAATTATTTGCACATTACTTATTGTGGCCACTGTTATCTTGGTTTCACTGTCCAGAAGGGGAGGTGGGCCAGGGAGAAGTTAAAACTGACTCAGTATCACCCTTCTCCTCAGTGTGAAGCCGGGATGGAAACCCAAGCTGGTAACTCCTCCATCTGTCTGCCTTCTCCCAGTCTGCTGTCAAACATTGGGGATGTGGACAGGGCAGTCAAAAAGGGACAAGTCTGAGGGGTCAGTGGTGAAAAGCAGGTTTGGAAGCTGCAGTGGAACTAGCCCAGTCACAAAAGATTGACAGGAAAAAGGGCCCAACACCCGGGATGTGAAAACCTAGAGAAGTCAGCCCCTGGGATAGGGACAATCAGGCACAAGCAAAGTTAGCTTGGTCTTATTTTATAAAAAGAGGAGAGAACAGTGACAGTAATAGAGGACTTGGAGGAAGCAAGGAGGTGAAAAGAATAGGGTGAAAGGCTGAAACAAGCCCTGATGGTGGCCATTTGTAGTCTGCTCCCCCTAGACTCCAAAGTCTGAGAAGACAACACTCATCACAGTGCACTCTATTTTCTTTGTGTTCCTCTCTGTCACCAGACAATGCCATTTTTGAGAAAAGATACTGCATCTTTCTAATACTGAATCTATAGAACCTATGTAATAGCACATATTCTGTATTTGCTGAATGACTCCATGATCCTGTAAACCTCATAGTGATCATCACAGCCATTTCAGAGGTGAGGGAATGCTTCCAGTGACTTTAGTGGCTTGCCCAGGTCCTATAACACACATGACCAGAAAACAAAGGAGCCAGTTTGCAGCCTAAGTTCCTACTTTCAACCTGTCACTCTCCCAAGCATCCCATGCTGAACTCTCTCCACCTGCCTCAGGTACCTGGTAGGAGCAGAGGTCCCCACAGGTTCACTTCTACAGCCAGACTCTTCAGCTGAGAGTTACCCAGGTTCTTCGCAGACCATTTCTGTGGTCCATAATTTCTGTCAGGCTAACTTCAGTATCCTCAATGTTACGCATTCGTTTTTAGTTCCCTCTAGTTCTGTCAAACTCTACCATATCATACAGAATGCTTCAAACTTTTCAGTGAAAGGCTATCACACTCACTCCCTGTTTGGATATCTCATATTACAAAATCTGACAATCTCTGATTTTTATTTGAATTTTTAGTTGCACACAATTTTTTCCATGAAAGAAATACAACCAACTAAGAATTATCAGATAAAAAGATTTCCTAATTTAATAGTCAATGATATTGCCAGATTTTAATTAAAAAAATTATTTTGGCATTAAGGAGTTCTTTCTTAGGTAATTTTAAATGAACACTTTTTGTGACAACTTAAATTCCTCTTTTTTCTCTGCTGAAAAATTTAGCAAATGTAGTCCTTGTTGCTTCTTCTAAAAATAACTTCTAGCAGCTATTTTTGTAGGCCCATCAGAGTTTTTAATAATTTGTTTTATATGTCAAAGAAAGATAAAGTGGTAGTCATTTAGGAAAGCATTTATGGATGATTTTCAATGCAATGGTTAAGAGGTATTTTGTTTAGTTACTGCTACCAGTGCACTAACCTGTGCAATGACAACATGAGTTGGGAGATGTTCACAGCAAGTCAGAATAACAATGAAAGGACTTGTCCCCACTGGGTTTTTAGCCTTGAACTCCAGTTCCCCTCCATAGTTTTCAACGACCACCAACTGCCAATTTATATTAATTGGACAGGAACAAAAACTATCCCTTCAACCTTCTCCTTTATTTAAAAAAATAGGAGACTTAAAAATGGATTCTTTGTGATTTATGTTTTGAATTACTTCCTATTTCTCATGACTGGTTTTCATTATAATCAAAGATATTATGCTACATAGAAATACTGAAAGCCCCCTCTCCTCCAGTTGCCAAAGGCAGGGTGATACAATTATCGGGAAAGGTCCATTCGGCCCACACTAATTAGCCAGTGCTGGTCTGATCCTTGTCACCCCACGTATCTCCCACCTCAGACCTGAGACCTTTTTGCTGCTCATTAGGACCTGCACAGAGAGAGCTCAGCTGGGTGGGGAAGGAAATGATGCATTGATTTTGGCACACGTCTGCTCAGCAGTGAATGATTTATACATGAGGAGACGAGGGTAGTGCTGTTTGGGCAGGTGACTTTTGGAATTTCGCTTGTCCACATTTGCACTTTTGTAAATATGAAGGATGTTGAGTAATCAAACATATGCCCACTAGCCACATTAAAATTATGTTTTAAAATGTAAACTGTATATAAATCTTCTCCAACTGTCATTTCTGTAAGTGTCATTTTATTACCAGTTATGATAAATATTCTAAACAAAAATACGTGTTTTTCAACAGAATTAAATTAATTCTTCAAGCCACTGCATGTACTTTATAACGTTACTGGGACCCTGGTTAACAAGCATATGTTCCTTATACACATACATGGCAAAAAGAGATGAATCTTGAACAATAATAATCAACTTTATCTTGCATCTTCCTCCTAGAGCCATTTTACCCCCATGTGACTCAGCCTGAGGGGAAAATACAGCATCGGCAAAGTTTCATCCAAATTCCTCTTTTCCTTGCTCTTCTTGTGTTCTGTTTCCCCAAACTCAAGGAGAATCCTTACTATTGCCAAAGAGATTTCACTAATGATGTGAGGAAAAAACACTTTGTAGCAGTGGGGCCATGTCTAAACCACAACCACCACACAGAAATGCTGAGGATAAAAACACCTTTGTTTCCTGCTTTAGTTTGGATCTGGAGTGACCCCCAGAATCCCATGATTAAAGGCTTGGTCCCCAGCCTATGGACCCATTGGGAGGTGGTAGAACCTTTAGGAGGAGGGGCCTTGTGGGAGGAGTTTAGGTCATTTAGGAGTGTCCTTAAAAGTGATAATGGGCCCCCAGCCACTCCTCTCACACTTTTGGCCTTATTTCTACTGCATGGTCTCTCTGTGATACACAAAAAAGGACTCATTCCTGCCACTAGTGCCTTTTGCACATGGACTGAACGTTTGCACCCCCAGTGGCAGCATGGTATTAGCAGTGGGGCCTCCAGAGGTGATTAGGCAAAGAGGGTGCAGCCCTTACAAGAAGTAACATAAGAACCCCCGTCACTCTCTCTCTCTTTCTCTGTGTCCCTCTCTCTCTCTGTGTGTGTCATGTGAGTGTACAAGAAAATAGCTATATGCAAATCAAGAAGCAGACCATCACCAAACATCACCTCCACAGGGCCTTGATCTGTACTTCCCAGCCTGGAGACCCATGGGCACTAACGTTGCTTAAGCCTCTCAGTCTATGATACTCAGTCTGTGATACTCAGTTATGATACTCAGTTATGATACTCGGTCTATGATACTCAGTCTATGATACTCAGTCTATGACATTCGCTACAACAGCCAGAACTGGCCAAGAGAGCCTCAGGCAGGTTGCTGCAGATCCAGACACTACACAACTAAACCCAGGGAAATAGTGATTTGTTGAAGAACTCCCTTAGAAGTAAAAGCAGTGGATATAAACACATAATATAGAGCTAGAAGAGAAGAGACATGTATAAATTTTAACAAGAGGTGAGAAAAATAAGCAGGGTGTCTTAGTCCACTTTGAATTGCTGTAACAGAATGTATATGACTGGGAATTATGTAAAGAAAAGAAAGTTAATTTTTGTAGTTCTGGAGACTGGGGAGTCCAAGGTCAGTATATAGCCAGGGTCTTCGCACCCATCATCCCATGATGGAAGGTGGAAGAGAGAGTGGGAGACAAGGGGAGAAAGGACTGCTAGCTTCAAGCCCTTTTCTAATTGGCATTAATGCACACAGGAGGGTGGAGCTTCAGTCACTACAGGGCACTTAGGGTCTGTGGGAAAGAGGCAAGATTTAGTCAGGTTCTTCAATGGTAAGCAAGAAACTATCACAGGCAGGCATTCATATTTGTAACTTTAAACAACTGGAACAGAGATGAACAGTTTCACTCTTTTGCTGTAGATTCCTAATCTAGCCTTAGGTCTAAATTTCAGATATAAATACAACACATTGTTACTTATGTCAGCTCCTCTTTCATAATCTGGATTTGTTATGTCATGTGCAACAATTCTTTTCCTCTGGATAAATCAAACATGGAACTGCTCTCCTCTCTCACACTTGAGCTTAAGAGGCCTGCCTGCTCACCTTCCAGAAAGGAATTCTTGGGATTCAGGACAAATTCCTAGACTCTGGCATCTGATCTCAGGCAAGGATGAATGGTGTTGAGTTCTTTGCAGTTGTTGGTGCTAATTGTTCCCTGTAGTCAGGTATTCAGGGGAAACAATGTATCAAGATTTGGGGGAAATCTGGAGTAGGTCCCTGTGAGCCACAACTTCACATTCAAATGTAATGCAGAACAGAGCCACAAGGTCCACTATAAGTAAATGAGAAAGGCAGGCTGTGTGGGCCATGGCTGGAGACTTTCAGCTTTGAAACTTTACTCCAAATACTGCTGTTAAAAAGAACATTAGTCTAAATTTGCCTAACTGAATTTATCCACAATACACCTCTCATGTTATCTTTACTTTTTTTCCCCATTTTTATACTGTAAATGTTCTCAAGGCATGTATAAAAAAGAAAGTCACAGCAGAAGCTCATTCAGTCTTCCCTTGTGATACATCAATTGAAGAAATTTACAGAAGTCCATTGGGAGGAGGCCTGGGGGCAATGCCCCAAAGTGTGTTCTGGATTCTTCTCTAACAAAAACTAAGAATTTTCCTCAGGACATGTCAGGCCATACATTTACTGATGCAGTACCCACATATGCACCTTATCCACGGAAGATATGTTCAAAGATACCCCCCCAGGGATGCCTGAACCCACAGATAGGACTGAACTGCACAGCTACTAAGTGAGTGATGGGAGGGCTGCATACACAACTTGGGAAGGCTGGACGCAGGGGTGGTTCAGGATTCAGGATGGAGCAGGATGGCACAAGAGTTCATCATGCTACTCAGATGAATAAGCAATTTAAATTTACAGATTATCCTGGAACTTTCCATTTATTTTTGAGTCATAGATGATGTCAGGAAACTAAAACAGCAGAAAATAGGGGCTACTGTAATACATTTACTTGCCCCTGAGGTATCTTGATCCTCCACTCTTGTAAGGAGTGACCACACAGGAGTCTGCTTATAAGGAATTTCTGGGGGAAGGAGGACCCACCATAGCCAGTCAACAAAGGCAAGGTAGGGAGACTGAATGGCCATCCTGAAAGACAGCTCTAGCTTCCATTCACTCTTACTTTTTTTGCAAAAGGAGGAAGTGCAGTGTGTTAAATAGCATCTTTTCCAAATGTATGTCCACCCGGAACCCTAGAACGAACGTAACCTTACAGAGCCCTGATTATCACAAATGTGATGAAGGGTCCTGAAATTAATCCTTCTGGATTCAGGTGAATCAAATCAACACCAGTGCCTGACAACTTTATGAAGAGTGGGCGAGAAGAAAGGGAGGAAGGGACAGTGGTGCTGCAAGTGCTGAGGAGCTCCAGAGTTGGAACAGGAAACTCTCTGGTCACCTCAGAGAGAGCTTGGCCTATCACCTTGATTTTGGGACTCCAGTCTCAGGCACCATGAAATAAGAGACTTACGTTGTTTTTAGCCATCATGTTTGTGGTGCTTTTTATCCTAGGAAGTTAGTAAAGGAAGGGAAGGGCAGAGGGAACAGGATAGGCAAAAATGGGGTAAAGAGGCTTAAGAAACTAGAAGGAAGAAAATCTGGAATTCATTATGTCTAGGAATAAGGTACTTTGAGACAGAGTGAAATACAGATGACAGCTCCCCAAGAAGGTTGCTAATTTGGCACTCCTTTATGGAATATCACTTTAATATTATTTCAGATTTATAGCAGCAAAACGGACCAAGCTACTCATGGGCGTTTGCCTATCATCCTAGCACTTGGTAGGCAGAGGCAGGATAATCCAAGGCCAGCCTGGCCACATAGTGAGTCCAAGGCCAGCCTGGCCACACAGTGAGTTCAAGGCTAGCCTGACCACATAGTGAGTCCAAGGCCAGCCTGGCCACACAGTGAGTTCAAGGCTAGCCTGAGCTACATAGTGAGTTCAAGGCCAGCCTGGCCACATAGTGAGTTCAAGGCTAGCCTGAGCTACATAGCAAGACCTTGTCTCAAAAAACAAGGACTAGAGAGGTACCTCAGTGGTGGAGCACCTTTCTTAGCATGGGCAAGGCCCTGGGTTGGATTCTCCCCAAAGAAAAAAAAGAAAAAATAACTTAGGGCTCAGGAAGATTACTGAACTCTGCCCAAGGTGTCAATGTGCACAGAGTTTTTTTCATCCAAGACCTTCAGAACTAGGGTCTCTACAGGTAGATCTGGGCAATCTGAATTGTGAATTGTCTCTATGGGGCTCCTAATGTATAATTTAACTGGGCATCTGAAGTGAGGATCCAAGCAGAACTGGCCTCTCAGTCCTCTGAGTCATGTGGAATCCTACATTCTGGGCACAGAGTCACTAGGCAGCCAAGACCTGAACCTTCTGCAGCCTCCAATGGAGTCACCTGTTAGGTATGCTAAAGTAACATGAAAGGAAACACAGATCCACTCTGTTCTCAACCAATGAACTGCCAAGTAACACATTAAATCTAATTAGCACCAAAGGCTAGGAAGGATAAGTTTGCTCATAAGCAGACAGGAGAAAGAGCTAATCTGTCATGGAGATTTTCTAACAGATTATAATAACTATTTAAAAAAAGTACTTTGTACAATGAATATAGAAAAAGAACATATAGGTAGTTGTTTGTCAAACATTCACACACTACCAATATCAAATGTGACATCAATTACATCTTTATAGGGCAGATCTCTGCATTAGCATGCAAATTGTAACACTTCTGTATGCCCAAAGGCACTTGATATTTATAAGCCTTGCCTATGTTGAGTAGTTTTGTAAATGTATAAACTGTTTGCAGCAACATGAAGCAAAGCCAATGATAGAAAATAAGTTTTATGTGAAGTGAAGAATTGATGGGTCACTCTACTTTTTTTGGTTTTATCATCTAGCATAACTTTTGGAAAACCTACCCCCAAAAAAATAGATAAAGGAGACAAGTGTACACACAAGGATGCTATTTGGTCCACTTTTCAGTATGAAAGAACCCAAAGGAAAAAATTGACTTGGGAAATACATTAATTTTTTCAACATGCTGATTTTATTATGTCCCAATGGGGTGGCGCAGAAAAACTAGGGTGGAGAACTTGAAAGCACAATTTGTGGGACATTCATCTTTGGGAGTAAAACTATTAAAATCTGGGTAAAACATCTATTTCGAATGTGTTACAAGTAGTATATGTAAAAAGAAAAGTATCATCTGGATAACATCCATATATGGACAACCAATTACCATCCCACGCCACGCCATATATGTGTGATAGATCTGTATTACTATCTTCTGATCATCTGTCTATGGATCATACACATAAGTAAACTATGAATGCTGCTTTCCACCTGGAACATGTTATGGAACATTTGTCATCCCTAAAAATTAAAAG